GCCAATACATCCTCAGGTTTAAGAAGATTGAACAGGGGCAGTTGTTGTACCCCAAAATTTGCCCTCTTTTCATACACGCATATTATTGGTTTTATGGTTATGGAATAAAGGTAAATTTATCAAACTTCTTCAGGTTACAAGTGACGTTTATTTCGTCAATGGATATTCTCAGAGTATTTTTCGTGCTGAAGATCGGTTCGCCGTTTTGCAACGATTTAGGGTTCAAAGATTCACAAGTCCAACCCGGTGTGTCATATTCAGGTGTTCTTTCGCCAAGATATCTCTGATAACATATTCTCAAATTCAGGTTGGGCTCAAGAGTCAATTCTTTAAAGAAGGTATCCGAATGTGTGAGTTTTCTCGAAGAAATATGGTGAAAAAGTGTGCTGAAAGTGCAGTTTTTACGCGCTAAAAAATTCATAACTTGAAGACCGTGGCTCGTTTTGAACCCGTTCCGATGGCCAAAATTCTGTCTTGAAGTCATCTATGTTTTCATCTCTCACAGCTGGAAGCCAATTTCGATCAGAAGGTCTTCAAAAATACGGATTTATCAAGTATTTTCGTATAGAAAATTTGTGACAGAAATTTATTTGCGTCATGTTCAGAAAATCATAACTTGGTCGATTTTCATCGTATCGAGCTGGTTCTGGCGCCCAAATTTGACAAATTGAGTTGGCTACATTTTCCCAGGAGGTATTGAGTTGGAACGGTATTCAAAAGGCCTTCGTTTTTTGCTCAGAGTAATTGTGACGCGCCAAAAATCCTGAATGTTGAATATTATTTCATCTGGGCCAAAACTTCGAAAATTCATAACTCGGTCAATTTTTATCGGATTGAGCCCATATTTTTACACAAGGTCACTGACTCAGAGATCTACAACTTTGCTTCAAAAGTCGAGACCGAATTATGCTCCAATCAATACCAGTTTTTTATTGAAGAACGTGTCAGAGTCGACACTGGAGCCCAAAATAAGTTTGTCTGAGCTGAAACTTCAAAAATTCATAACTAATTCACCGTTTATCCGGTTGAGCTTATTTTCAGACAGGAGTTAGTTCTCGGTGTCGGCTACATTTTATTTTCACATTTCAACTTCAAAAATTGCACTTAAGCCCCTACGATTTAGCCTGGAACATGACGAACTCAAGTGAATATTGGAGACCCAATTGCACATTCAAATCCCATTTTTTTCTCTCTAATTTCTATTATATAATCCCATTCTTTTCACACAAACAAGGGAGGAGAAAAAAAAAGCTTTTTCCGCAACGCTGTCAAAATATTAAATTCTTTAAAGAACCCTAAAACCTTGAAATCCTTATTACAAATCCCCATCTCACTACAAACAAGTCATCCCTGTTACAAACCAAAATCTCACTACTTCTCCAGTAAAGGTAAGACTAGCTTGATCTCCATGATCAAAAGGGCATAAAAACATTCATATCACTACTTCTCCAGTAAGGCTAAGGCTGATTTGATCTCCATGATCAAAAGGGTATAATAATTCATACATGACATATTGGCTTAAACATTAAATTTCTTCATATATTGACTTTATTTGTATTTCATGATATATAGTAATTTATTTAATGTGTTCATGAGATTCAACACTTCAGATTTAGACAGGATCTCATGCAGGTTCATTAAGGAACGTTGAGGCCAAAACACAAATGGCCAAAAGCCAAAACACAAATGGTCAAAACAGAAACAGCCAACACATGACACCAATACATGGCGAGGCAGACATCCTGAGAAGGTTAAGGGCGTGGGTTCAACAAACACCCCTATTGGTTTTGATTTTCTCCTTTTCTATTTATCCGTTTACCTATTTTTATTTTTTCTGTTTAAAATCTTTTTTCATAAAACTTAACATTTTTTCACAAACCTTTGATTTTTTTTATAATAAACTCGAAAAATTAATTTTAGGTTTTAATTTAATTTTAGGTAACTTTAATTATTTTGTAAATAAATTAAAATTAATTAGAACAATTAGGATTTTGTTACTAACTTAATTATATTTTATTTTTTTCCTAAAATAACAAAAAGACCAAAAATAGGTCATTTAATTATTTTTACGGTTTAATCACTAATTAATTTTCATATTTAATTTAGAAAAACTTAATTCTTTTCTTTAAAAAATATTAAAAACAAAAAAAAAACATTTTCTCTTTACATTAGGATAGAAGGGTTAAAACCCTAGTTCGCATTCGATCTAATTTTCCTCGCGCGCTTTATTATTATTTTTGTCACATTAATGTATCTGCTTTCGGTATGTAATAGTAATTAGGACATTTTATTTATTTTACCGCTTTATTTTATTTTCAAATGGTTGCTTTTGGCGATGTAAATACCCGACGTCTTGTAATAATTAGTTTTAATTTCTGCACTTTAATTTCTACTAATTATAACTGCTAGATGTTTGATAATAGGGTTTGCATGACAAGACCGAATGTTTGATCTTAAAATTAAATTAGATCATCCTTAACATGTGCAAAGATAAAAATAACTGAAAACGACACACTCGCACATGCGCACTCTTAGGGTACACCCCACTTGGTTGCCTTCGTACACGGTCATTGAGTATAGGTCGTTTTAGAGGTCGTCATCTTGTCTAAAAGATTATAGTTGCCTCGAAACGGTTGCCTCGGATATTGTTGCCTCAAACAAATGATCTAAGACATTAGGGTTACCGCTAAGGCGTCCTAACATTGCTTTAGTGACCGTATGTCCCTCATTCGAATTGACCCTCAAACTCCAACGACAGTGCTACCTACTCATTAATAGTGGGATAGCATGGTCTTAAGGAAATTAGCATAGAACAATTCATTTTTCGAGTAGGTAGATAGTTCTTAGATACTTGCTCATCCAAAACAAAACAATTTTTTTTCACTTACACTCCTTTTCAAACAAAGTTTTCAAAACACTTCATTACACTCTCGAGGACAGAAACAAGAGTTAAATCGAAGTTTAAAACAAAAACTTTTCAAAACCCACAAGCACAAAGAAAACGTTTTGAAAATGATGAGCAAGTGCCTAAGAGCCCGTAGATAACTACGGATAGAAAGGATGTTAATACCTTCCCTTTCTATAATCTACCCCCGTACTTAGAAAATCTCAAAAAAGGAATTTTTCTGTGCTTTTTGTCTTTCCTTGTTGGATAAAATAAAAGTCGGTGGCGACTCTTGCTTACCGCGACATTTTGAGAAAACAAACGCAAAATGCAAACCAGCATTCCAAAAACAGTTAGTTCTTCCCACCGTATCACAAAGAGAGAGAGAGAGAGAGAGAGAGAGAGAGAGAGAGAGAGAGAGAGAGAGAGAGAGAGAGAGAGAGGAACAAATCATGTTCACCATATTTGTTTAATAAATCGATCATGTGATTAGCTTTAACTGAGGGAAGAATCATGCAAAAGCATAATAATGTTAGAGAATCTCATATTCCTTCGTTAATGTCACGCATTCGTGCTAAACGGTCGTTCTATACCTTACTGCCATAGTGAAGTGCTATAACAATATCAACCTTTCTTTTTTCTTTGGTTAGTAGAATACTCAAATCTTCATACTATAGAAGATAAAGAGGAAACACTTATCAACCAACATGTATTTATCAGCTTGAGCATAATATCTCATATCCCACATGTTACTAATTTAAACAAAACATTCTCTTTTCCCGATATTTAACGTGTCACAAGTGCATCTTAATACTAATGGGCATCATACTCTCCAAATATGTCGTATGAAGTAAATTCAATAATTTCTTTGATGGTTCAAATAAAATCATGTATATGCATCTTAACGTGATTAAGGATCTGAGTGATGACATAATAAATCTTATATACACATGTATTCTAATATACAATTCATTTTTTAACTTATCTTCAGCCTTCAGTCTCCATAGAAATTGGAGAAGAGGTCACCTCGCTCTTGTGGAAGTTCTAGTGGTTTTATTCTAGAGCCTTCAGTCTCCATAGAGATTGGAGAAGAGGTCTCCTCGCTCTTGTGGAATCTCTAGTGGCTTTAGTCTAGAGCTTATCTTTCTAGCCTTCTCGTCTTGAGTGTGGATCCGGCTCAACCCGAGACTTTCCGCATAATACTTTCAGACAATCTCCTGATCTCTTTGGATAACTCCTACTCGTTCATTGGGAAATAGATATTTCATGCATAGATACAAGATAAACCAAACGGCGCTCAACCAATTAAAGGTTGGTCGCCATATAATCATATTATATGAAGAGGGGACATAACATTTATCTCCTCAGACTGATCTTCCCCTCCAAAGGTGAACCTCAAGGTGATATATCTCTTTACTTGTATCTATTTTCTAGAAAATCTAACCAGTGATCCTCTTAAGGGTTTTAGGTCTTTTAGATCGAGTCGAAATCTTTCAAACACCTCTCAATACAATATGTTTGTAGAATTCCATTGATCAACAAAGACTCTTAATCTCTCAATCTTCACATTTAATAACAATGATCATGGGATCATCATTCACTAAGGTGTAATTAGGATTGGTGGAGTTCTTGAAACTAAGTCTATAGAGAACTTCACTTGCCACTTCAGAGGTAAGAAAGTGACATTCTCTTAAAACATATTCGAAAACTCACATTACCGGTATTAAAGATATTACTCTTTTTGTTTCTCAAAATAAGTACTATCTTGTTTTCCTAAACCTTGTCGCAAGAGTTTCTTCATAAACTAATATCTTATTTTCAAAGATAAATATCAAAACTAATTTTTTGAAATACTTTTGCTTCTCCAAAAAGCTATATTTAGTAATCTTAAGACTCTTAAAATATGACTTCTTGTAAAAGAAATAACCAACTTCTAACAAAAACATAAACAAAAGTGTGATAGGTGCTTTAGTTAGGAAGCATACATAACCCATGGTTAGATACACATTTGGACTATGCATTGAAACAAAAATTATCACTAATCCTCAACTATGGTTAGATACGCATTAGGACTATGCATTGAAACAAAAACAATCGTTAATCCTCAAACTAGCATTTAGGATGGTGTTTGCTTTTTTCTAAAAAGTCCCCACAAGTAATACTTTGATTGAATTCCTGCAAAATGAATTGCTCAAAAATTTAGATACATTTATTTAACAAACGATAAAACAATAAAGCTTAAATGAAGAAGTAGAATGTGTAATATAATATAACAACTCACTCCTATATTCGCTTGGAAGCGTTGTAGAAGAAAAAATTAAAAGCTCGGCTACTTCAACCTCAGCTCTTATGACAAGATCATTGAAAATCATTTCATAAACTAGTTCGTCAAATAATCTCTCAACCCTGTTAAAATATATCAATATTTAAGTCAATACTAGTTTAAATATGAGTATGGCAATATCTTATCTACGAAGGAGAGAATCCGACACGGATTCTGGGACATAACTCAGACACAGCGATAACGATATTGTAAAAAATATAGGATGTGAACACCCGTACGTATACATTGTTTTAACACATGTTTAACCTTTTTAAATGTATATGAGATTTGTTCAAGAAATGTATAAGGTGGGTTGAAACAAGGAAAAAAACATATTTTTATGAAACAATTATCTGAATTGTTGTGTGAATGTCAAACGAGTGTCGAACGTCGACTCAGAGTATTGAATCAAAGAAAAAAAATCATCTTTGAGACACTTGACCGATTTTTTCGACACTTCATTTTTCCAACACATATCATACATGTGTCGTACAATATTAGATATCAACGCGTGTGGGCCACCGCGATATACCTACTACTAATGGTGTCTCTGCTTCATTGTATGTTATTAGTTACAAAAGTGGACACAAGAAAAGAAACAAAAACTTTAATCAAATCAAATTATATTAAGTTTGTGCAAAATGTCACCTTTCATTCTGAGGAAAGAAATAAAGGCCAATGTCTATATTTTGTGCTCCAAATTTCATGAAAAGATTTGGCCATACAGATGATCTTTGAAACAAGTCAGCATAAAGCACATTAGGGAGATGTCTTGAAACTTCATGAACTCTTGGGCATGCTAGACTGGATAAATGAGCCATTAATTCAAAGCTTTTGTTGATAAGCCTTAAACTTCCCCTATTTTACAGAAAATTCAACTTAACATTGTTACCAATTACCATAACAGCTACAATAAATTTATTACCTTCAAAAGTCGGTAACATAAGCCGCGAAAACAAACTTCTTACCTCCATATTGGATCAGCAATAGGATGCGAGTCAGCCACATTCTCACATCCATATCCGGAATCAACTTCAAATTTCTCTGAATCTGCCGTGTCTTGATCAAAATCTTCGCTGGAGTTAACTTCAGTGTTTTTTGAATCTGCAATCGCTTTATCAGAAAAATCTACGCCTATTACCCCTAGCTCCCAATCCTCGCTGAAACTAACTTCATCGTTTTTCGAATCTACAATCTCGTTATCAGAAGAATCTACATCGATTACCTCTACGTCACAATCCTCACAAAACCAAATAACCTCGTCTGTAAAAACCACAGGACCATCTAAACAATACCTGAAAAGAGAAAGTTCAGGTACACAAGACTATTGTAACATAATATCATATAGTTGGTAGGCTTCGACGTAACACCATTGACTCGCGACTGTTGTGAACAATATCGGTTGGTTCGGCCACAATTACTGCAATCGCATTCGCTACAAATACATGCAATGCAAGTGAGTAGATGAAAAGTACCTATGCAGTGCATAACCTTGACATTTGAAGCAATATACCAAAGTCTCTTCAAAACCTTCATTGCCACATTTAAGACAAACAGAGACCTGAAACAGAAACAGAAACAGGTAGAAAAAGTTATAAATTGTATAATGCAATCATTCATAAAAACTATGTATAATAAAAATTGTAGAAAAAGTTTCATGTACCGTTTCAGATTCAGCACTGGTTTCTGAAGAAGAAGATGAACAAGAAACAATCTCCATCAAGAGATATGGTAACAGTTCAATATCTTTCTTCAGATTCTATTTGTTGAGAAACTGAAAAGTCATTTCTATAAATTCTACAAAATAATTTGTCTTCAATTATCATTTATTTTATTCTAATGAAATACATTAAGTATTAGTTCTTATTTCCTACTATTAATTATTGTTTTTTTTTTAATTTTATAAATTTATCTTGTATAATTAATATAAAAAATTTAAGATTTAATTGAAATACACTGATTTATAAATCATCTCATAATTTCTCTTTTTTATATAATATTAATTATTTTGACTTAATTGTAACTTTAATCTTTCTATTTTATCTTTTTTTTCGATTTTAGTCTCTCCATTTTAAAAATGACTATTTTATTCTTTTTTTTTATAGTTTTTATGCAATTTTAATCCTTTATTTTTGTTTTTTTCTATAATTATAGTCTCTATTTTTGTTCATTTTTCAACTGAAAATTTAAAACGAAATCATAATCATAATTTTTAAAATAGAATAATCAAAATCGAAAAAAATACAAAATAGAGAGACTAAAATTATAATTATTTCAATTATTTTTAAACGGCAAATGACTAAAACATCATATAAATTTGGGTTAAATATATTTTTGATCCTTATAAATATTTCAAATTTTATTTTTAATCTCTATTAAAAAAATGACAAATTTTAGTTCTTAAAAAACTTATGTTCATTCCGTTTTAGTTTCTGCTATTTTCTAAAATTTTAAAAACTGTTTAATTACCTTTAAATTTTTAAATTTTTTAATAATATTTCTCATACGTGTTTAGAATACTATAAAATGTTTCTTTATTAAATTTTAGAATTTTTTAAAATGAGAAGAATTAAATATGATTTTTTTAAATTTCAAAAGATATTGATAAAAATAATGAAAATCTCAATTTAAAAATCAAATTTTAAATTTCTTTTTTTCTAAAGAACTTTTTATAACGTTCTAAACATGTCTACAGAATATTATTCAAAAATACATATTGATTTAACAACAGAGACTAAAACTACGTGCATAATAATTTTATAGGGGTTAAAACTTGTTATTATTTTAATAAAGACTAAATATGAAATTTGAGATATTTATAGAGATCAAAAACATATTTAATTCTATAAATCTTTATTAAAAAATTGTATTTATTAATAACAAAATTTAAATTTTTAGTAATTTAATAGAATTAATTATTTATTTTAACAAAAAAAATAAAAACAAATATTTTTTAGAATTTTTTTTTAAAAAGTATGAGAAGAAAATAATACCTTTCAACTTCATATAACAACGATGATATGGAACGACAAAAAATGCATAGATTGTCTCTCCTCCTTTGTTTGCTGGTCTATAGAGAAGATGAAAAGGTGTGGGTCCCACCATTTTTAATATTATTATTTCACTTTTTTTTATTATATTTTTTTCAATTATTATTTTCATTTTATTTTTTATTTTATCTACAATAAGAAAACTAGAAATATTATTGTCAAATTTCTAATAAATAATTCATTTGAAATTAGAGAGTATTCCTTCTATCTTTATTACTAAAAAAAATTTATTTTTGAAAAATCAAATAATTAATATATTTAATATTTAATATATTTAAAATATTATATAAGAGTGTCATTCTTAAAATCTCTTTAAACCCACAATCACCCATACATTTATATTTCGTTTTTATTTAAAATAAGTGTCTTTTTAAATAAATTATTTTAAAATAAGTGTTGTTTTATTTTTTCAATATAACATTAATTTATTTTTATTAATTTTATTTATAATTAATTATGTCTTATTATTTTTAAGATATTAAATTTTACTTTTCTTTTATGACAATATAAAAATAACCAAGGACAATTTTATAAATGTATTATATTTATTCTTTTATTCATTATTTTTTTTAATAAGTGAATCTTAAAAGAGTTTTATTTTGAAACAAAGAGAGTAATACTGAGAGAACAAAATGACGTTTTATAGAAGCTGTCAAGAGACAACACACCACTTAAGTCTTACACATGTTTTTCTGTTTATAATTTCTATAAAATGATTCTTGTTCAAATTATTGTTTGGCTTTAGTTTTGCATTCTATGATTTAAATTAGAATTGTCAATATGAGTTATCCAATTTTAAATGAGTCAATTTTAATGGATATGAGTTTTTTAGGGTTGAGTTAAAAAAGTAGTATTGTAATATAAACTTTATAATTATTATTCGAGTCTAACCTTAGATGGATTTCGGGTTATTCAATTTTAAATGGGTTTTTTTAATAAAAAAATAAAATTGAAAATTTATAATATTTATTACAAATAAAAAAATATAGTATTTTAAAGTAATAAATTTTTAAGTATTATATTATCTTTTATAAATACTATAATGTGTTTTTAAATACAATATATGTCTAAATTGTAGAAAATAATACTCAAATATTTAATATAAAAGAAACTAATAGAATACGAAGAAGTGTTAGTTATATTAATATATAATTTTTAAAAGAGAAAGAGAAAGATTGAATAGAATAGAGACAAAATTTAATAAAAGTGAGAAAAAACAATATATTATTTTAGAGTAACATAATATAAGAATTAATATAACTTTTTAAAATTTTATGGCTACGCAGCCTAATGGGCTACACACGGTCTTGACAGCTATAATTTAGATGTACGGGAGAAAATAGATTAGGCTAAGTCAGGTTTTAGAAGACTTGAGTGAACCATATTCAATAATAAATTTTTAAATATGAGTTTGGCTTGTAGTCTATTATAAACTTTATCTTTTGCTATGTTTTGACTTTTTAAAAAGACAAACTTAATTTGAAAACCTATTTAAAAGTACTTCGATATTATGATTTTTAAATAGTTTATTTTACCTATGAAATAGGTAAAATAGACTATTAAATTAATAGTCTTTTAAAAATTTAAAACTAACATTTTTATTAAATAGATTAAGTCAAACCAAATTATAAATAAATCATATCATAGATTCTATAGGCCGACCTACCTAACTTATTCACATCGTTGTTTTGATGATCTCAATATTAAACAATTGGTAGATAGAATTAAATTATCCTTTTAAAAGTGATTTTTGGATAAATCCTTAAAATCTTTGGACTTTCTACTTAATAGACTTCGAACTAAGTTTGTAAAAAACATCACCTTTCATTCTCAGGAAAGAAATAAAGGCCAATGCTCTGATTATTTATTCCCTAGTTCCTGAAACTTTGTGGCCACATAGCTAATCTTTGAAGCAAATCTGCACAAAATACATTAGGGAGATGTCTTATCTCCTCAAGAAGAACTTTAGGACATGTTAAAGTGGATAAATGGCTCATTAATTCAAAGCTTTTGTCGATAAGCTGCAAACTTCCCCTATTTCGCAGAAAATTCAACTTCAAACAATGTTTTTACCGTAACGAACGACTATCAAAAATTGATTAATTCCAAAAGATGCTAATAGAAGTCACTACAAAAACAAATTACTTACATCCATATTGGATCATCAATAGGCAGCGAATCAACTACAGCAGAACAGTGATATCGGGAACCAACTTCACCTTTCTCATAATCTATAATGTCTTGATCATAGTCCTCGTTGGAATCAACTTCGTCTTTCTCAGAATCTATAATGCCTTGATCATAATCCTCGATGGAATCAACTTCACCATTTTTTGAGTTAGCGATCTCAATATACGTATACTACCTCTGCTTCACAATACTCACAAAACCAAATAACCTCATATGTAAAAACCACAAGACCATCTAAATAATACCTGAAAAAGAGAAAGTTCTAGTACATAAAGCTATTATAGCATAATATTATATAGTTGGTAGGCTTCGGTGTAACACCATTGGCTGGCAAACATTATCAAGAATAACGGTTGGTTCGGCCACAATTACCATTTGTTACAAATACATGCAATTCAAGTGAGTAGATGTAAAGTACCAATGCAGTGCATAACCTTGACATTTGAAGTAATATATCAATGTTTCCTCAAAACCTTCATTGTCACATTTAAGACAAACAGATACCTGAAACAGAAACGGGTAGAAAAAAAATTATAAAAATTATATAATGCAGTGATTCATAAAAGATGTATAATAAAAATTCTAGAAAAATTTTCATGTATCGTTTCAGATTTAGCACTGGTTTCTGAAGCAGAATCAATCTTTATGAAGAGATATAGTAACAATTTGATATCGTTTCTTGAAATTCTACTATTTGTTGGGAAAATGAAAAATTTATTGAGCTTATGTTCAAAAGTAGAACAAATATTTATTTGAGAATAGATTCTCTAAGTGTAATTTACACTTAAGAGAGTAAAGTTCAATCTATAACCATTAAAAATCATTCTCTCTAAAATTTACAAGTCTTACTTGATAATAAAGTGAATATAGCTTCAAAAGTGACTATATTTTGAAAATCATAATAAAGTCTTACTTGATAATACTTCAAAAGTAATTGGTATGCGCTATATAATTGGTATAAAGTGAATACTTGATAATAATTGATATGACTTTATTATTGTGATAAATCAAAATTTATATGAGTAAGTGAATTAAAATCGATATTAATTTTTATTATTAAAATCAAATTTATTTATAATATCAAAAATAAATTTAATTATATTAATTTCAGATACAATTAAATAATTTTAAAATAATCATTTAAATATGTATGAATGTCAATTATATAAATTTTATTCTGATGAATAGTATTAAAATGAAATTGATATCAAATTAATTGTACTAATGTGCAATACAATTATATAAAATTAATATAATCACTTGATTCTAGTTTTTTTAATTAATTTAGTTTTAAATGATATTAATAGTAATATTTTCAAAATTTTGTTTAAAAATTTGTAGAAATATAAAAAAAATGTTTTAATAAATTATAAAAGATAAATAATAGTAATTGTAATACATACTTTTAAGTACTAAAAAAAATATAAAGACAAATAAATTTTGCAATAGTACTTAAAAACATGTATATATTAAAATTTCA